GGGCTAACAGGGCTGATGAGGACATCAACCGGGGATGGAGCTGACACAAGCCCGTTCTTGAATGGGGACTTTGGGGAGTTCGGGTATACCGCACCAGAGTCTGCTAGTAATGCAGATCCGACCACCAAGGAGGATGTGTACGCTTTTGGGATCATTCTGTTGGAGCTGGTCACAGGGCAGAAGGCGACTGAGATAACCAGTGATGCAGGAGGAGAAGGGTTCAAGGGGAGTTTGGTGGATTGGGTGAATCGGCTTTCTATCACAGGGAGAATTCATGAGGCATTCGATCTGTCACTTCAGGGGAAGGGCAACGATGACGAGATTATGCAGGTGTTGAAGATTGCTTCTGGTTGTGTGGTAGCCTCACCAAAGGAGAGGCCTTCTATGTATAAAGTCTTCCAAACTTTGAAGAAAATTGGGGATGGATATGATCTCTCGGAGCATTTAGATGAATTCCCACTTGTTTATGGGAAGGAAGAGTAATCGCCGATGAAGTTAGGCTGCGGATTTGGCCTTCAGACGAACTTAATCGCAATGCCATGCAAGTCTTTGTCCATGGAATTGTATGGCTTCAGCTGGGTGGTAGGCCCTTTTGCAGTGATTTGAAGACCTTATATAGATTTGATTCATCTGTAATATTGTTATCGTATGATCGAATATTAGCACAGACTGTAGCTTCTTTCTATCCCATGACTTGCGACTTCTAATGGTTGTACAACCCCTGCTGGGGAATCCAAATTACTTTTCGAATGATCAGGTACTGAACTGTATTTTCCCTTATACTTACATTATTAGCAGCTAGTTCATCATAGGTTAGATCTAACTTTTTCTTTGTGATAATTGCTATCATTTTCGATTTAAATGTTATATAACTTCTGCTGATGCTTTACAGGTTCGGTAAATCTGTTTATTGTCATTATTCCTGTTTACCAAAACCTTGTTAATTGTTTCTTAATTGAACATATACTGAAGTTTATAGATTTTTGTTTCCATAAAGCGTATATAATTTTCTGTCATTTCTTATTATCACTCTTTCAGCTGACTATAGATGATCTCCGGTGAGATATCCTAATGCTAAAGGTGTTGTAGTGTGCGTAGTTAAGAGGTCAGAGTTCGGGTCCTGTAAACAGCAACTATTGGTGATCTGAAACTGTGTTGTTTTAAAAATAGCTATTGAATTTGATTATCAATTTTTAACATTTCAAGTGATATAAGCAATATAGAATTCACAGACACAAAAAGGACAAAAAGACACATCAGGTTTGCACCATCCTGGTATCACAATGGATTATTGATGATCAAAATGAATACTCGTTTAGAAATTTCATTCATTTGGTATGGATTTTTCCAATACATTATTGTTTATGCAATCCTTTTTTAGTTTTTATATTATACTGATTACTGGTACATATCATCTGCGTTTTCTTTTGTGTTGCAGTTTCTTTTACATCCGATGTCCTTTTCTTCGTTAAGGATGAGCAGATCTGTATGATTATTTGACAGATATTGCACTCTTTGCCATCATTAGATCCATTAACTATATTAGTGCCTCGGACAAAAGGTGAAGGATTAACAGCAATTGCTTATGGGCCTTGAGTGGCTCAATGGATTATAGATCCAGTTTACGGGATCATGAGCTCTGGTATGACCCTCCGTGAACACCTGAGGGTTACCTATGTGACTTAGAATCATGACTTATGTGATTCATGAAGTTAACATTATCTCTATTGATTTTTGGAGATTTGGAAGTTGCATAGCTACTGTTAGTGATTAACAGACACTCTTTCGTGGTTTTTTCTGAATATCCAATAATTGTAGGTGTATGATGTACTTGTTATTTGTGGTGCCTTAAATTATCCTTTGATCTATTTTTGCACATCTATTAAGTGTATTTCTTAATTTATTCGAAACTTCTTCATATCTTCATTGCCCTTATTCAGGTTATTCCCAAGCACGTCTGGTACTGTTGTCGCCATAGATCAGCCAGACACCTTGTTACCCTAGTAGCACAGAGGATTTACGGGTCATGGGTAGAAATCCTGTTAATTGAGCTAAATGATAATGGCAATGCTACTTTATTATCTCCTGAGTACTTGGCCACCTAACTGTTATTTTGACTCTGTTACCAGCCATCTTAAGGAAAGCTAGCTCTATCATGTATCAGGTGTCCGCGTGCAATAAAGATCATTAGATAGGCTGACTGTAATCAGAGGCAGGTTGATGAAATTTTCTTTTACTTGTTCCTGGAGGGATAACTGACCACCTTTCTACCTGCAGATCCTGCTGAGTCCTCTGCATCAGTCTTTCATATCCTGGAAGCTGCATTGGGCAAGTTACAGGATAAGGTAATGTAAATACTGTTTTAAGTATCCTTCTGTGGCTCTTACCTTTTTGCTTGGGACATTTCTGTAATACACATCTGCATGGTTTGCCCAATATGTTGGTTCTTCTTCCAGCTAAGCACATGCTCTTTGCTGAATAAAAACTGTACTTTCTTTTTGACAGAATCTAATGTAACATTTAGTCGTGATAGAGCTCATTATAAGTATTACAAACTGTGCAAATTATTGAAGTAAAATATGGTTTTGTTTCTTTATATATATATATATATACCTTGTCACTTTACTGTTTGACTATTTGACAAATAATCTGACATGCTCCACCACTTTCTTTATTGTTTAGTTTCGCAGTTGGAGTAATTGGTTGCTTTTGTTTATTGTTGTTTTTGATGGAAACACTTGAACATGCATTTTTATCTGCATCTTATTAGTTTATTATGTGACCACTTAAATGCCAGTTGTGTTGGTTTGGCCGAAGAAGAAAAGACTAAAAAATTTATTTATCTGAAAACCAACCAAACCTTTTCTTGGCTCTTAGTTGCTTACTCTCTGAAGAACTGTGTCATATTCATTTAGTTGTTGGTTCACATATTTTTCCTAAAAGTTGATGATTCCTGGTACTTAATGAAATTTCTACTGGCAGTATTCTTCTTTGTTTCTTGACACTGGTAGACTCTCTGGTGGGCTTTATTGCATGTCAAAATCTGAATTAAGAGGTGAAATATGAAGAGTTAAACAGAACAAGAAGCCTGTAAAAAATTAATATAAATTCTATTTTTCTTGTAGTAGAAACTTATGTAGAGAATGAGCCACTTAACAACAGTTATTGATGCCACCAGATCAGTTAATATTGTCTTTTGAATGAGGAGGCATTTAAAAAGTGAAATGTTGTCAATTATCTTCAATAAAACTTTTAAGTGGATGAAACTGGATGTTTGAAGAGAGACCACTGCCGGAATGATTAGCATTGAGTGTTTAGTGCATTTGCTTCTATTTATATGCTTGCTAAGTAAGAGACGTCCTTTTACGTGGCAATCTTAAAGAACCAAGGAACATAAAATAGACTGATGGTCAACTTGGAAGTTTTACTTGGCACCAGTATTATCAAAAGTACTTTCCCATCTGCTAGAGAGATTCCATTTGGTTTTGTAATACCCCTAATTAGTGGTTTAGATCAAATGAAGTTGATAGTAACCTATCAAGCTCAGATCGTAACATTTGGTATCAGAGCCGACCTAGCAATTAGACATGATGAGAAAGTTCGAATGGGAAAGAACTACAGTAGACGAAATCAGAAGACTGTGTGAAGCCACTATTAGGGTTACACCTCACATATAAATCAGGCTCGGGTCATGACACAACTAACTTGAACCAGCCTTCCATATATTAATTATTGTTATATTTTGAAGTCTTAGAAGAACGACTTAATATTTACTTCCTGTTCTCAATGTTACAGGACCTTCGATTTTGACTCTGCCTGCAAGAATGGCAGAAGGTGCGTTGGTTTGTATTCTAATGACATAGTAGAGGAGCACGAGGATCTTATGCATCATCACATAGCAAGATTTACACAGTGGACAGTGTTGGATATGTGCTCTTAAGTCACATAGAACAAATTAAAAAATATATATCAAATGAGATATCAAAATCTTAACCTTTTGACTATGAAGCAGGTTAGGTGCACTATCGTTTTTTTTTTTCATTTATATGTTTTGTTGAATTCATTAATGAAAACTAAACAGTACATGCATTTGCAAATTACAATTTTGTTTTTTTTCCCAAATTAGATCATTTCCAATGCGAGTTGAATCAAGTGCAATTTTTAAATCCTTGAGATTTTTGTTTCGAGTTGCAGAAAGTCACTAGCGGACAAGCAGCATTCTTCCGATGTCAGGTCAAAGGTAAAACGTGGGTTGCTTCTAAATATAAGAGAGCCAAAGCAATTTGGTTATCATCAGGTGCAACGTTTCTTTTTTAGTCCAAGAGTTCTAAGTTGACTGTGCACCAACAATAGATAATATTAACAGCTTGCATTGGAATATTGAACGAATTAGTGGCCTAGGAATTCGTAATAAAAATTCTGTTGTATTTAATAAAAGAAAACTATTTCAGTATTTATTTATTTATTTATTTATTTATGTGTTTATGAGTCTCTCGTGCATTGATTTTGCTCTTTGAAGAAAAGATGAATGAATAATAGAACAAGAATGAAAGAGGAAGGGTGTACGCTTACGATGACATCTCGCAGCGGTGCCGCTTGCTGAATTCTCGCATTAAAGAAGTCGACGACTCTAAACCCTACAAGTAGTTCGGTCAAACCCCGCGTAGATTAGTTGGAGCGGGCCAAACTCTCTTTGTTCTTCAATAACGTGGCAAGCAGTACGCTTTGTGCGTTACGGAACACAATTGTATATAATTAATTACCTTGCGAACATTCATTGTATCTTCCCAGGATACGCTGGCCTCTTTTCTTATCCTACCGCCGCCATCCTGCAAGCTGAGACCGGCCAATCGTGAGAGATACAATAATAGTACATCTGCAACCAGCTTCGTCAATTAGATAAAAGAAGAAAATTTACCTGAGTTTGTTCCATCACGCACGGTATGGTAGTCACATAAAGGCCATGTTAAGAGAAGGCGTGCAAATTGAGGCTTTATATCATACTGAAAAAAATCGAACTCCTCCAGAAAATTTGGAAAACAGCAGTTCTATGAATTACGTAACCACAAAATCGCTTTTGAAAGCTCAGATTTCGCTAGGAGTTATAGGTGTAATTTAGTTCTCCACATGGATCCTACAACCTTCTTGGGAGCGGGATCATTGGGACCCTTGTCACGCTGGCCGGACGTGAAATAAAGCCAGCCGTTCCAGTATCCAACCAAGGTAGTCTTGATGCGGAAGGGCATCCTTCCGACCACTGACCATTCCTGCATATTTTAATGGAAACTTAGCCTTGATGATCGCATGCATTTCATACCAAGTTGGAAAACTGACAGTAGAATCATCGAGTCTGAACAGAATAATCGATAACGGATAATTAAGAGGTACTGAAACAAGGGATTATATCAGCGGAGAGAAAGTTGCCTACCAGTGTATCCAAATTGAATCGAAATATTTCACCAACCAGCACCATCTTTTTGGTTATAGGATGTTTCTCCGTCGTGCCGCCAGCAATAATGATTGAATTGTTAACATTAACCCATGCAAATTCTATGTGAGAATCTGGTTTAGGCATGGGTGGAAGTTGCTTCCATTTCATCTCATCATCAAGCATGTAAACATCGCTGTAGACCACCTAGGTAAGGAACATAGTGAGTTAAGAAGTAAAAAGAAAGCACTCGTATTCACTTATTTAAGAAAAGTTGATTAGAAGCACCGCAACCGTTTCCATCAAGTATCTGAAACTATGAACCATACAAGTTCAATTAAATATCTGCTTATTTGATTGCTATATTTTACAAGGGTAACACAAAGAATCTGATCAAACTATTATGAACTATTTTCTGTGCAATCTTCACAATAAAAATTCTTAACACAGAAATCAAATGAGATTGTGCAAATCATTTTGCAGGGGCATATAAGAAGACAGGAAACAAATATAGATCTTATACTGGCTTTGATTCCCAAATCCAAGGTATATATTCCCTCATTTCTGGGTGTCAGTCATACAAGAAGATTTTTTTGAGTTTGTTTTCTAATAAAATAAAATTACCATCTGCCGGGAATCATCGGATTCAGCTTGATCAATGGATTTCAAAAAAGGAATTAAATGAATTTTTTTAAGGCATAAAATTTAACCTCTATATATAATATATACCAGATGTTCTAAAGATAGTGCTGACAAACAAGAACCAGATCAATTTTGACTTCACAAGCATACGATAGGAACTTACCCAGATTACACAATAATGTCCAAGCATCAATTTTACTTAATTTAATCTCACAAAGCATGCATTATCCAAGTAGATAGGCTATCTAAAACTAAGATATCGGGAAGTGACAAAGTAGATAAACAACAAGGTATACTATTCCAAGTATTTCCTGGCTATATAAATCTTTTACCGTCATTGAGCTTTATAGTTTCTACTAGAACCTTTTTAGGTCCCTCTATCTTTCCATAAATCACTAATATTTATTAATCTCACCCTTTTTAACTAAATCTCTGTTTCAGATACTTGGCTATATAATATTCCAAGTGTTTCTGTCACTAAATCTCAACCTTCATAGGACTCCGAAGCATATTTCTGTATCATCTTAGATGATTCTTTCTTATTTTGTCATGATCAAGGCTGCTAACTGCTGATGAATGAAAATATTTTTTTTCTTATCCTTCCTAGTAATTTCATACATCCACATCAACATTCTCGTCTTGATGACAGAAACACTTTTTATATACATTGAAAGCGACAAAGTTAATACTTAATAGCACACTTTTATGGATTGGCTGTACAAAGTCTAATCTAGCAAATGTATCCAACCCATTCAACATCACCAGCAAGCCATGCACTAATGAAATAAAGCTTCAACTGCTTTTACCAAAATGAGTTGACAGCCTAGTCTTCTGCGGGAGATGATGTCAATAGCTGAGAATAACTGGGAAGTATTCATGCCTTGAGAGTTTGAAAAATCTAGAACTACGGTCATCTCTCTCAGCTCCAAAGATTTAATAGTTTAAAATTTATCAAATAATATGGACTAAAATCTGAAATCGTCTATCAGAAGAGGCTCGCCACAAGTGCCAAACCAGAGTGATGTTCTGGAGTCCTACAATAAAAGCAATGCAAACCAAGAAGCTAGCTTTGCCCTTTGGGGTAACCCTCTTGGCATGAGAAAGGGAAGAAGCTCTTTCCAATGGAGCACATAGTCATCAGCGTTCAGTATCAAGACCAGTATATATGAGAAAAATTTAAGATAAGAATAATGTCCAAAAACTGATTAAAACAGAAGTGCTAGTACTGTATGTTGGAAGTGACAAAGATAGATTTAGTGTTCTAAATAGGCAAGGAGATTTTAAAACCCACTGAATCTTTCAAAAAACAATCACATAAACTTGTTATTTAGGTAAGCAAAGTCCATGTGGACTTGAATGCAACCGGAAGTCTTGAATAGGACTACTGGTTCATATTATTCATTCCAACACTAGTCCAACAAAGTCACCAACTTACAAGATAAACTAGTACAATATTGGATATATTCTACCAAAAAAGCAAGCTAAATAGTTCAAGTTTCCAACCAATAAACAGACGAGCAAGGATTTTATGCAAATTAGTTTATGAATTTATGATTCCTATAATGTGGTCATATAAAGTTTATTATACCTGGAATCGTATCTTTTTTATTATAACCCTCCAGGGCAAGAAACATCAGAAATGTCATATCACACACCATGGATAAATTAAGGACAACGTTATGACGATTTTACAGGACTGCCTAGCAAATGATGAAAATTGTTTCAGATTATGAAATTGAATAAAGAAGAGTACTGTAAGACACATGATGAAAATTATTTCAAGATACCCTAATATAATGAATGATGGCTTACCTCACTCCGTCTGACACATTTGAAAATTGGTGATCCAGGTTTGGCCATAAAATCACCTTCTTGACCACCAATAACAATCAGCTGATCATTAGCGACTACACAAGCCCTGATGATAAAAGATGTTTCGACTAAGGATTATGCCATGAGATTTGCGACTTAATGTGATATTGATTGAATGAAAAATTGTGCTAGTCAATTGTTCCCATAGTTTTCTTGATTAACTCAAGCTCCATCTATAAGTAACATGACTATACAGTATATCTTATTATGATGATGGTTGATGATGCAAGATATATACATAATGTCCACCCTAATTGTTGAAAAGTATGATAATGTTGCTGAAGAAATAATTGATAAATGAGAAGAATTTAATAAACCATATGGATTGCCTACCATTTGGGGCATGTAAATAACATGGTTGCACACGCTTTGTTCAATCAGCATCACATTACCAAGTCCAAAGGCAAAAGAAATAAGAGAAAGCTAAGATCTTGACAACCACTAGGGAACTAAAATAGAAACTAAACTACTTTTAGAGATAGACTAAGTCCTATGACACTGAGTGTCTTGCTTGCACTTAAAAAAAGGGCACTGTGCTTCTTTTCTTCAAAGAAACATTTACATAATTCTGTTTCATGTGAGCTAAAACTGAACATACAGAGATGCTATCTCTACCCAGGAAAGCTACGTGTAAAACTGCATATATACATGTTTCTCTAGAGGCAAAGTGGAACTAATATCCCATTGGAGTCTTTCCATTCAAGTGTTACCCGGTCAAAATCATTGGAAATCTGGCTTCTAGTCTGCAATTTCACTTTGATGGCCATGATTAAGGGCCTTTTATTAATCATGTTTTGATGATCATGCCATTCTGGTATGTAGCTCAGTGAATGGATCTATACACAGATAATGCAAATATGGCTGATCAATTATGACATGCCATATAGGCCTTTTCATAATGAACCAAACTGTTGGAATTTATTCAAATGTTCTGAATATCATCTGAGTCCAAATTAACTGTTTGTGTTGATTATAGTGTCAAACTAAGTTAGAATACTTTTTCCCCTTCTCTAGTGTACTTGATAAGCAGACAAAAGAGCTTTTAAAAAATGTGATAACTTTACCAAGCTCTTCAAATGCTATACAATATGTTTAGAAACTTAAATAGCCTTATTTTAGAAAAAATAAACTTCAATCTGGAACCAAACTCAAAGATCTAGGACTCATTTTACAATAACCTTAAACTGATCACTATCTGCATAAAAAAAATGTAAAAACATATTTTACAAGGATTGACATGTCCAGTGCAGCATTCATGCCACTTCATTAGTAGCATGTAAATGTATGTATTACATGATGCACCATGAAATGCTAGTGCTTGGCATGCGCCTTAGTTCATATATGAGCATAGTGGTAAATACCCATGTTATATACTTCCTCTTGGCATGACATTGCAGGATATAAAATAATGCCTAAATAAATATTAGTGTGAGTGAACTGTTTGACAATGCTTTGTTTCATTCTGTTTCAACCATTGATCCTCCTCTATAAAATTCTTTTCCATTCATTTAGTAGGGTAAGAAAGAACCAGAACACTTGGTTCTTCTCCCTACTCTGACAATGATTACACAGTATGGCAAGACGCACTCTATGTCAAACCCTACTAGATGAAGCAACATTAACCACATGACTCCGATGATCAAATACATGGAAATATTTCAAAGGATACCCACCTTGGGAAAAACAAATGTTCAAGGTGCCTACTGGCATAAAAAATATGACAAGCAACACTTATCTAGAAAGAAACTACTAACAGAAAGAGCATGTTCGATAAATAAATTTAATCATATAATGACAAATTAAATTCTAAGAAATTAAGAGATGGGAAGCAACAGATAAGATAACAACCCCCCCTTCTGCAGAAACAGAATATAATTCGTAATTAGAAATATAAAGTGAAAACAAATTATAAAGAATTATACGTATCTTCAGATTACATTAAACAAATTAGAAGTATTGACATTTGACACTAATTAGAAGCAGAATCACATTTCAATCCCAATGACTATATCAAGCATAAAAGATCGGGTATATATTACTCACAGGCAAAGTTATTGATAAAGTTTGACAAAAGAACACTAACTTAAGGTAAATGGCCCAAAGACCTGTGGGGACCACCACGTGGTATAGGAATTTCACTTCGCCATTCTTTCCCCAAGGCTTTTCCATCTTTCACTGCAAGACTCCAATGTTCTAATCCAGGTTCATGACGGTCTTCCTTGCTGCCACCCATGACATGAAGTCTGCCTCTCCAAAGCTGGGTGGCTGGGGCATACCTACAAATGCACCATTAATGCTTTTCAAGGTTTGGAACATTTTGATCCAAATTTTGCAGAAAGCAGTAAAATGGCTAGAGAACATTTTGAACTGACTAACATTCACAAGACTCTTACACAAAGAGGATCAGGAAGTTTAAGAATTGAGAAACATAATAAACAAGAAATTTGTGGAGACTTAGATAAAGCTCCATAAGTCTGATTTTAACCCTTGCATGTGACAGTATCATGCTACGGAATATAAATATGACCTTGTTGAGATACTAACTTCGATGAACTCACCTAGGCACAGGCAAGGGAGGCAAATCATGCCACTCTTTCTTCTCAGTGTCCAGCACAAAATTGCGAGCTGTAGGGCCTCTACATTGAGGACCATATTGTCCAGTCACTACATAAATGTATCTTCCATCTGTTGCCATTCCTAAATGAGAATGTGCCATTTCTTGTGGCATGTCAAATCTTCCTCCCCATGTATTGTCAGTAAAATTGTAGATATCAACATGGGAATGAACCTACAAGAAATTGCAAGTGTAAAAGCTCACTTAACCGTGTAGCAAAAATAACTTTTACACTTAAGAGAGAGAGAATAAAATACTTCCCAATATTTAACAGCTGCACTACCTGAAATCATTCGACTAGTACTTCTTTTTGAAATTATGAATTGTTGCAATTAAGACAAGCAACACTTATCTTTTAATTAATCAGGTGTTAATGAAAATTAGCTGACCCCAAAAGGTCAAAATTATGGATTCTTGTTGTCGCAGGTGTTAACAAGCAGTAGAATCAATTAAAAAAAAACCAAAAAATCAATCATAAGGTAATCAGGGTTGATAATTTTCAAAATACTTAAGCAAGCTTCATCAAGCATCATCAAGCATATCAAAGAAAATTTTCTAACTACCAGTAACATAAATGATCATAGGAACCAAGTGAGAAAGTAACAATCATTAGTACAATAGCTACTTATTATTTTACAGCAAGCATATTAGATTAAATATTGGCAAAAAAATATGAAGAAGAAATGTGTTGAGCAAACAAGCATGCCAGAGTTCTTAGGCACCTGAAAGGAG